AAAAAAAAACAACAACAACCCCCTCCCCGAACGTCTCTTTTCTCTCCATTCCTCTCTTTTCCATATCCCCACATTACCTCTCCATCTCTCTTTTATTTGCTGGTAATGCAAACACAAACACAAAACGTCATAACCAGGGGACCAAGATGACTCGGTTGTCGGAAGCGAGGAGAAGCAGCCAGGGGCCATTCACTGTAGTTAAACAGACGCTGGAAGTAAAAAAAAACAACATTTAAGGGCTCTCTCGGTCTTATGAGCCACGGTCTTATGGGCTGTGCCTTCAGCTTTATTGTGTCCTGTCATCGACCCTAGATCGTCACAAGTTGACGTCATTGTCTTGCGTTTTTTTGCTCTCTGCCTTCTGCTAGATAGATGGATGATGGATGGATGGATGGAGAGAGAGAAAAGAAGAAGAAGAAGAAGAAGAAGAAGAAGAAGAAGAAGAAGAAGAAGAAGAAGAAGAAGAAGAAGAAGAAGAAGAAGATCATTATAGGGTTCTTTCGGGCTTATGGGCCGTGCCTTCAGCTTTATCTTGTCCTGTCATCGACCCCAGATCGTCACAAGGCTATGTCATTATCTTGTGCTTTTGCCTTAACAGACGGGTGACGGGGAAAGATCCGGACAATCTTTTTAAATATTATTATTTTCTTAGAGCATCCTATCGGAGAAATGAATGGCGAACCCCCATTGCTGATGTTTGTTTCAGATATGGCACTTTATGATGATGAATTGCTTTTTCTTTTCTTTTTGTATTGTACTGTATTTCACTTTGATACGTGTTCTTTATTTCTTCCTCTTTGGTTGTGGGTGGTTTGCGAGAGATCTGGTACTTCTTTTCTGTCAAACATTTATCGTCCTTATCTCTCCTCACTTTTAATGTGTTTGTTACTCTCTTGTAAACCTCTAATTTTCGGCATTTATATGACCCAATTGTGGCGCAAGTGCAGTAAAACTCATTCCAAGACAAAAAGACTCTTTGACTTTAATGTGGTATTAATGTCTTCGCAAGACTCTTTGACTATGGCGTTGTGTATGTCTCCCTCAGACTCTTTGACTGTGGTGTTGTATTTAGGTTTCATCAGACTATTTTACTGGAATTTTGTGTTTATGTCTTCCTCAGGCTCCACGAGTCAGAATCTGGCTTTGTCATTGTGATCGACAGACGGCAAGATGGATGGGGAGCGGTCAAATCTATTCTTGTTAAACTCTCAGTGAGTATGCTTTTCCTTCCTTGTGACCTAGACAGCTGTTTGTTTGTTGGTTTTTTAAAATGCTGCCGTCTTTGTTTGTCTACAAAGCACTATCTAGATGAATATTGTGTCTGTTTGCCAAAATGATACTACCCAGAGACTGTGTTTAATTGCGTACACAATGCTAACCATCAAGTGGCTATTTGCAAGATTTCAAGCCCTTTTAATCGAGAAATTTAGACCATTTGGACCCCCTTGAAAATTGCCTTCCAATTTAGGTTTTACCGTCCAAAAGGAACAACAATCGATACCGATAATTTTTTTGGCGTAGGCTTTGTGCAATAATTTGGTGGGTTTTTATTTCTTGTTTTGCTTTTTTGGGGGGTTATTATCTATTTTCTGGACTGTTAACGGGCTTTGAATAATAAATATGTAGCTCTACATTTCGTTTCGTCCAATACTTAATTTACTCATTATTTTTTAATGATTCTTTTGCCTTCCATTTTCATTATTTTCCTAAGTTCTCGCTTTTTCAGTTATCTCCAGTAGAGTCTGTGCATCATGGACTTGCCGCTGGCTCGGTTGTTATCATGTTGGTCTATGGTGTTGTTGACCTGACTGGCAGAGACGAAGCAGCCCGTCTCTTAAATGATCTTAATTGTGTCGATGGAGGGGAATAACATGTTCTATCTATCAGTCAGGAATTGGTTTATTTCTATAATAATATACTGCTTTAGGGATCATCTGTCTGAAACGATCAGTTATATAAACGATCAGTTTCCACTCACCCTCTGGCTTTCTTTCTGTATTATTATAACGGCACTATCTAAGTGAACCATATGTCTGAGATGACCACGTTTCTCCTCGACAATGGATGGTCGTCTTGTGCAGGTTTGACGTGTATCTATTTATGATGATACTGTTTTTTTCCTCCCAGGCATTCTTCCCTGTACATATTCAAGTGGTGTTTCTACTTCAGCCTAAGGGGTTCTTCCAAAGAGCATTTGCTGACTTCAGATCCAAGTTTGTTAAGGAGGAGTTGGAATTTAAGGTTGGGCGCTTGTTTGTTTGTTTGTGTGTGTGTGTGTGTGTGTGTGTGTGTGTATGTGTGTGTGTGTGTGTGTGTGTGTGTGTTTGTGTG